ACTTTTGTGTCAGGGGAAAACTATTAGTGCCAGAGAAACATGGTGATTTCTTTTATGCTTTTAGTTTCAAAATTCTTAATTCAATTTTATTATTGTCATTATTTCTTTTGATGTTGATCTAGGGTCCTATGTAGCCCAGGCTGGCTTCAAATGCTCTGTATCATCAAGGCTGGCCTTGAATACCTCGTCTTCCTACCTTCACCTTCTGCAAGAGCTGGGATTACAGACCTGGACCACCATACCCGACTTGGAATTTCTCTGAAAGTTTATGTTACTATTGTTCTAAATCCCCAGCTCTTGGCATGGGGCCTACCATACGGTAGGCGTTAAAAAGTGTTGCATTAATTATAGTAGCCGCTGTTTTCTGAGTATTTACTGAGACGCTCAGCATCTCATTGAAACTTTAGAACATGAGATAGAACCTGGGAATTTTCATTGTGTATGGTATGACAGGCAAAATGACAAGATATCTCCAAGGTTCTAACCCCCTACAGTGTGTGTCCCAGTAACCTCCCTCCTTGAATGTGATCTGGGCTTATGAACAAGGTAGGCCTCCACTCCTGTGACCTTGTTATGACTTGGAATTAAAAATGAAGGAATTTTGCAGATGTAGTTAAAGACCCCAATCAGTTGACTCTAATCAAAAAGCTTATCTTGGTCGACCTAATCAGTTGAACACCTCAACTACAGTATTGGGTTCAAAGTCTGCTGGCCTTGGAAAAGCAAGCAACCACAAGTTCTAAATATGCAAAGAAATGGATCTTGCCAAGAACTTGGAGCCACAGAAGAGATGCCAAGCAGAGGGCTCAGTCATTTCCTGATCCATAGAAACTGACATAATTAGCAGATGTTGTTTGAATCCACTAAATCTGTGGTCATTTGCTGTGTAGCAAGAAAACTTTAATATAGTAGTGGAAAGATAATAGCATACAAGGTTGAAAGACTCAGGCAGGGACCCACATTAGGAACTGATGGAGCTGGAAGTCAAACCTTGACATTTCTGATACTACTGTGCTGTTAAGCCACCACCCCACGATTCCTTTACAAAATGAGACTCATTGACATTAGCCCTATGATTTTCTGGAAGCTATAAAAGGGAACAAACCAAGGCTGATTCCAAACCCTGCTGCATAGTGATATGAGATGGAGACAGGGAGCTGCCAGGACTTCCCACTCATGGTATACACACACGCACACACACAGACACACACACACACACACGTACATGCACACACGCACACACACACACACGTACACACACACGTACACGCACACATGCACACACACACACACACACACACACACACACACACACAGTACATGCACATACGCACACACACACACGTACACACACACACGTACACGCACACGCACACACACACACACACACACACACACACACACGGTGGGGAGAACTGGGGCCAGGGGCAGGGCAAAGGCATCTTTTTTGGAAGTGTACTCCGTGCTATCCCTCAGGATGATGCCTGTGAAACTCAAGTGAAAGGGGATGAAGGAGAAAAGCCGTTTCAATCAGGGTGTGGTGCACAAAGGCTCATTCTTGTAAACATCTAGAAAGACCCACTGCGGTGGCTCAGTGGCCTCTTTGCTTGGCTCTAGATGAGAGGGGGGCAGCCTACTTTTCTGATCAGATCAGATTTTACAGCCACTCTCATTATTTCAATCTCCATTAGAGAAATGCTAACCTTTCTCAGTTGGGAACAGTGCTTGCTTAGTATGCACAAAACCCTGGGTTCAATCCCAGAACTACATGAAGCAAGTCATGACAGTCACACTCGTAACCCTAGTACTCAGGGGAGGTGGAGGCAGGAGGAGCAGATGTTTGAGGTCGTCCTTGGTTACACAGGGAATTCAAGGCCAGTGTGGGCTAATGAGACCTTGTTTTAAAACAAAACGGCAGCAGCAACAATATATATTAATGTAGGTTTCCTATTTTGCTGAGGGAGAGAGAGAGAGAGAAAGAGAGAGAGAGAGAGAGAGAGAGAGAGAGCACACTCGTAACCCTAGTACTCAGGGGAGGTGGAGGCAGGAGGAGCAGATGTTTGAGGTCGTCCTTGGTTACACAGGGAATTCAAGGCCAGTGTGGGCTAATGAGACCTTGTTTTAAAACAAAACGGCAGCAGCAACAATATATATTAATGTAGGTTTCCTATTTTGCTGAGGGAGAGAGAGAGAGAGAAAGAGAGAGAGAGAGAGAGAGAGAGAGGAGGGGGAGGGAGG